TGCCACTGCTATAATTTCTCTTCTTGTTTCTTTTCTTTTCCTCCAACAACTGCTGTAATTTCTCTTCTTGTTTATTTCTTTTTCCACCAACAACTGCTGTAATCTCTCTTCTTGTTTATTTTCTCGTTCTTCTTGTTTCTTTTCTTTTTCCTCCAACAACTGCTGTAATTTCTCTTCTTGTTTCTTTTCTTTTTCCTCCAACAACTGCTGTAATCTCTCTTCTTGTTTCTTTTGCTGTTCTTGTATTGCTGCCATTAAATCTGCTAAGCTGTAGTTTGATTTGCTGCTTCTCGTTTCCATCTTCTTTTTTTTTATCCCACTTCTGACACCAATTTGTTATGTCTCTGGTCGTTTGTTAATTTTCCGTAGAAATTCTTTCCGAGAAACGTCAGCAATACAAGTCCATTCTTAAATAAAACTAGTTTATTCTTTCTCAATTCAACTTTGCAATACACTTAATTTCCACAGTCAGCTTAACTTAAACACACGCTATAATTTACAATGAACGATTCACACACTTTACTTACTACCGCGCTTGACTCAATTTTCCGTCTCTGTCTCTGCATGTCTTCAATTCTATTCCGATTGATCTCGTCTCACGTTAACCGGCGCACTTATATACAAGAATAGAGGGCGCCTAGCACATACTGGATTATTTGTGATGTTCCCCGATCCTGCGAGAATATCATGACGTGTTACCAGTGTCACGTGACTGCCACTGTCGTAACAATACTAATTTGGCCGGAAATGTTTTGCAGGTCTCTGCTTGGTTGAGATTACGTGAACAAATTATATGATGTCCTAAATAAACAGTAATATTATAAGTTTTTCAAATTCTTAAAAAAACAAAAACAAATAGTATTTTTCATAGACTTTACTATATTTTTTAAACCATTCAGTATTATCGTAAGGGAATATATAGGGATTTGATCTGATTCAATAACAAAAATTCTTGTTTTATGATTTTTCATTTCTTTTACCTGGAACTAAAAGCAGAACATGAAATGCAAATTGGGAATGAAAAATGTGATAAAATATTTTTACTGGGCGTATAAGCGCAGAAGTTGTTTTTCTCACTCACCTTTTCGTTTTTATAAATAGGTTTCAAAGTTAGAAACTTGGGCATTTATTTCTTTAACTCGGGTTATGTACAAATAATGAAAGAGGATGATATTTTGGGTGAAAAGTAATAAATTAATAAAAGGTTTCTCCGCAGTCTGTCATATTTTGTTTTTGTGTATTGGGACTATTGCGCATTATCATTAGTTCCTACAATCATTTGATTTTAGTCATGACTGATAGAATTATTAATTGTTCTTAAACTAAATCGTTTAGTATTGCGAATACAACGTATAATCCAGGGCTAACGTTTGTTGTGTTTATTTAAAAAGATGTTTATTTAGTGTGTTCACTTGACCTGGTGAGGGCTCTAACTTACTCGCTGGTCCTAGAACATTAGACTAGAAGTTAAAAATAAGGTAGGGTTGAAAAAGAACTCTTCGTGTTATAGTATTAATTTTAAAGTTTTCAAATTATAGAACTAGGACAGTAGAAGACTTGTCTATTTATTTTAAATTCAAATCTTAAATGTTAAAACCGTAGCATTAAGATAATAATTTAGTGCCGTGTTTTGCACTAGATTTTGGAAACGAACGCCTCGGGGATCATGAAATTTAAAGTTATTTAACTTACTTTTAGCTTTAAGCTGAACTATACTAATTACTATATTATAAAATATAGTCTGTTTAGCGTATGAGTTTACTGTCGTCGCTCTTAATCTGGTAAGATTATGTAACTTTTATTTTTAATTTTATGTAACAATATTATAATTTATATTTAAATTAAAGTTAATTTTAACTGGCTATAGTGTAACCTGTAGGATGCAAAAAAAAGAAAAACTTAATTTTATAAGTTACAAAATTATAATTTATATTTAAATTCAAGTATCAATTAAGTGGCTGTAGTGTAAATTGTAAGCTGTCTAAAAAAAAAAATCAAAGCACTAACTTTAGTAATACTAATAGTAGTTCGTTTTCAGTTCTACTTCTAATGCTAACAATAAGATAAATATTAGGAACTTAGATTCTGTTTAGTAACTTACTTTAGCCTAGGGCTAAAAATTAAATGTTAATTTTAATTTTCAAGTTTAAAAATTTAGAAAGTTGTCACATAGGAATAGACTTAGGCAGGTCAAGGGAAGGTGCAAATTTTATGAAAGCCTTAAAGTTAAAATTGAATATACACAAGGCTATTTAATAACAGATTGCAAAAATCAGTACATAATTAGCTTTTAGACTTCACAACATGTTTCTTATACTTCAGTACTTTATTTTCTAGTTTGAGTAAATGTATTTATTTTTCCCTACAATTACAAATAAATTATACTTGACAATTCACATATATTTTCATAATTGTTACATATATTGCCACACTGTTGGAAATGTAACTATTTCCATTTATCTAGCTAAGAGTAAGACATTCTAATGAAATGTATTCATACTTCCAGTATATAGTTGAAAGTATGTTTTTACTTTTTATTCTGATCAAGTATATTCATGCAACATAAGTTAAATTTTTTTAGCTACTTTACTCTTCCATCAATATATATGATACATACTTGTTTCTGACTAAAGAAAATGCCTCATTTTTAAATATAGTTTGTTTTTTAGGTGCAGCATGGTGGCTCATAGAACAGCTTCTAGTTTTTTTTTGTTTTTTTTTACAAGTATAAACATTTAGCTCGTAGCTCCATCATCTCTTGACTGATTTGAGATCTAAGTACAGTTTTGGACTTAGATGGTTAAACCCTTTGGATTGATGCATTTGACCATGTCCAAGCTCTTGTGGATTGATTTACTATAATCCTGCCTAAAATAATTTCAATTTGAGGGTAGGCTGATAGAGATCCTGACGAGTAATAAAATTGAAATGGGTATAAGTGTGCCCCATGTTTGGTATTGCTGATGCACAAAAATATAGCTAATAAAAAGGAAAATAAGGTCTCATAGAATAATTTACTTTAATCCTGCCTAAAAGAATTTCAACTGCTGTGGCTATTGAGATCTTCCTCTTGTTCTTATTACAGACTTAATGTTATAATTTTACCTGGTAAAGTATTAATTTTCCTGGTACTGTGGTGCATACTGCACATAAAGTTCAGATTTGTGTAAGTTTGTTGGTTAAGTATGTATGGGTATAAAGTATCATATTTAGTTTGGTTTTGCCTTGGTGGGTGGAAGGGTGATATTAATAGGCTAAATAACTTTCCATCACCTTGATCTTTTTTTATGTTCATCCTTAAATCTTAGCAGATATTTTAATTAGGATATACTTGGTATAAATGATACGCTTGAAAATGTTTACTAAAACGAATGTGCTCGTTTGTTGTTATATACTATATTTAGAAACATTCATAGGATAGGAAACAAATATTTTTACTTTATGACAAATATTATTACATATATGTGTGTGTGTATGAAGTATCAGTCTTGATTTTGGAGATGGTTCAAAAAAATAATTACAAAATAAAAGTGTATAAACCATGAAACATAAAGTGATCCGTCACACACACTAACTCTCTCACTGCCATGGGCATGTATGTTGCCCGTTAGAGCATTGTCATTAGAGTTTGGAATCCTGTATCACCATGAAGAGAGATATTCCTTTTCAAATTTTCCAGTTTCATAAAAGTAATGAAATACTTAAGTGTGTGTGTGTTTTTTATTGTGCATCTGAAAATAAACCTGGCACTGGGAAAGTTACTTATCCATAAACAATGATAGTTAAGTTTCTATTGAGTAAATCGACCCCAGTAAAATTATTACTTTTAAAAATAATTTGCTGTTGATATTTTGTTTGTCATGATAGAGTACTTTTTTGTTTGGAATGTGTGTCATATAACTGAACTAAAGTTGTGTGAACTAAAGATGCTAAGCTCAAGACCAGTCCAGATTCCTAAATATTCTAATTCACTTGAGTGAAGTTGCAAAAAACACCCAACAAAAATAGCAGTCCATAGAAAGAAAATCAGTGATTAAACACTGAGTATTATATATTTTTTCTGGATAACAGAACATCATTACATAAGACGTTATGTATTTTGGAGATTGAAATTGTTATATGAATTGTGTCTGTATGCCAGACTTCAAGACACTTGTTATGATAAATAGCTTTTCAAGAAATCATCGTGATGCTGTCCTTTTTATTTTTGATTTGAAATTAGGGTTATTTTTCATAATGTAATGGTTTCTGAATCTACTATATCAAATCATTTTTTTTATATTAATGCATTAGTGTACTAAATTTATGCATTTTTTCAGATTTTTCTCATCACTTGCTCTGGGTTCAAAGTGTGAGTCACAAATACTGGCTGTGATGCTTGGACTTCTTTTTTCTGGAGAACCAGTGAGCTAGATGTGAGTATTTAAGAATATTAGTGGTTTGAATAGATTATGCATAGAACTTCTGTTTGAGTAATGAAATGATAAATAAGAAAATAGAAATTTGAATGTCAGAGGAAATATGGGTAAGCTTTATTGTTCCTAATTTAGACTTGGCCTTCAACATAGTTTTGTTTTTAATATAGGAGAACTAAAAAGACATGGACTTGTTTACTGTATGATGTGGAGTGTAATGCTATTTCAATTCAATTTAAAAAATTAGGGTGAGAAAAGCTACATTTGATTTGTGGTAGTTACTTTAGTACTCTTTGGTATCCATAATTAGGAATGCTATAAGCAATTGTAAAGGAAGACTAAAGACGTATTCAATCTAAAAAACTGAGGTACTCAAAGTGCTATTTATTTTCAATCTACGATAAAAGTTGATAATTCAAAATTGGATTTTTGTTTTTATTTATTTATTAATAAGTGTTTGGGCTGTCTTTTGAACTTTTATGTATATATGTACATGTGTGTAATGTATATATACACACACGTGTATGCATGGTGTATATGAACACATTTTATATATAACATAACTTTAATTTGCAAATTACGAATAAACTTGGTTTGCACTGAAATTTTAAAAGCAGTTGCTAAGTTTATGCAATGTTTTTGAATTGTCAGTATTCCACTTATAATAATGGAAAGGACTTTTTTAGTCATTAAGGTTGAACTTGCTTAATTAACTAAAAATGAGGGAAAAAAAGCCTTAGGCATTAATTATAATTTGAATAGCATCAATTCAGCATCTGTAATTTTTTTTAGTGTACTGTTTTGAAATTTATGTGGCATTCTATGGCACTATGTAAAACGGAGTGTTTGATGATTGATATATCTAAAATTTTATGTTGCTTTAAAAGATGAGGATTTTTTTCGTTTTGGTTTATTTTTATATATGGTGTTCCACTTGTAATGAAATAAAATCCTTATTTTTAGGCTACTATGGAAGACAATTTTAGTCAGAGCTCAGAATCCATTGCCACTAGTGAGGAATATGAAATTCTGAGCCCAAGTGATCCTGAGTTATGGATAACCAGCAGTGGTAGAGTGGATCCTTTGAAATCTTCCCCTCAAAAATATTCATGCAATACAAAATCTTCCCCTGTGAAAAAAAACTTTAGTTCTTGTAGAACAACTGAAAGCTATAAGCAGGTAACTTTGAACATTAATACATATACAAATTGCATAATAAACTAATGATTGAAAAATTAGCTAGTAGTTATTTAGTTACTAATGTACTTCTTGTGCTTCATGTTTTTTTTAAAGAAATTATGCCAACAAGAATTAGAGGATCCTATTAAGTTAATGAACTTGAATATATAGAATTAAATATACTTTGTTCCATATTTGTTTATTTTTATTAGATTGTTTTATATTAATCTTAGGAAATTTTGTTGGATAGTTAAAAATAGGACCATTAGCAAATTATGTGTAGCACAAATACTAGAGTATATTAAGTAATTGCTAGAATTACATTTTCTGTGCAACTGATTACATAAGTAAAGTTGTATTTTATAATGTATTCAGTATACATTTGAAATATTTTTACAGTTTTGACATTTGGGTGCCCCCCAATGTCCCAGCGGTATGTCTGTGGACTTATAATGCTAGAATCTGGGTTTTGATACCCGTGGTGGGCAGAGCACAGATAGCGCTTTGTGTAGCTTTATGCTTAACTACAAACAGACATCTAGGCAATAAATAATTTTAAAAACCAACAACAGAAAAGTGAATTTCACTTTTGGGTGAAGTTTTTTACAAATTAATATTTCCGATATGGTCTTGCCTTTCGCACACAAAGTTATCTCAATCTTTTTCTGCCCTCTAAGCATTGCTAAAAAATTTTCACCATCAGTGCACCAGTCTATATACCCCACCAATTTTGCATCATTTATGAACATGTATATATCATGTGACTACTCTCCACTAATAGTATTGTGCCATCTATATTTGCACAGCTAGCTCTCTCTGCTATTTCTGCTCAATATTCACTTTTTTGATTGGCACAGCATGGTTTAAACGTGTTTTTTTTTCACATGTGGTTACCATTTATGAATGTGCTTCTTTGCTATTTAAACTTTTTTTCAGCAGTTTTATTTTACTGTGTTTGCATTCATCTGTTTTAACATTTTCTTTTTTGCATTTATTTCTTGTTACCGATTATAAGAGATCTTGGTATGAATTTGTGATCAATGTATCGACTATGGAAATTCCCGTTGCTGAAGAAAACGTTACTGGTACGACTTCCCAAGAAATGGGGTCGACTTTAACTGCAGAGGAGGTACAGGCTTTTATTTACAGGGAGCTAGATTCATATGTTTGGCTGGCAATTTCTTCTTCTTTTCAATGTGACAATGTTTCTGAGGAAGAATACAATCAATGAAAAGACTATTTGGACTATCTTTTTCTGGCACCACAGTGGGGGTGCCACATATCCCACCTCATCTGGATTTACTTCTGTTCACTTATGCATCTTGTTACGTATTGAGAATTTGAAATAATCCAAAGCCGCATTAAATAATTTAACTTTTAATAGTTGAAACGTACCCTGGATTTAGTGTTTAGAAATATGGTGGTATTTTATTTAATTCATGCTATTTACCAACAAGATTGATTCACACCATTTTTGTTTTGACACAAATACATTTTAATATATATTTACAACACTATGATTTACAATAGCAACTATTGTGATTAATTATTACAGTTCAGAGTCTCCTTGATATCCAGCGAGTTGTATGTACATATAATTGTTGGGAAGCTAGCTAGCTTTGTCAGGCACTGAATTGTTGGACCGTTGAAGTAAGATAATATTTTCATAAAATCACTAATGTCCGATGAGAAATTAGTAATATTCTTGGAAAGATATTAAAGTTTGATGGGAATTCACTGACGTATGAAATTTATAACTGTTCCTGGTCAAATGTCATATATTTTCCAGTTGGTAAGGGTTAGCAAAATCACAGTTTATAGCTTACACGGTTATAATGGTTTCATAGTAGACGTTTCTCTTCTCTGTTATCTGTTGGCACGATGCCCTGCTGTTTTTATAGGCGAGACACATTTTCTAGAACCTTCTAATAATACCGGATATGGAAATGGATATATTATTGATTCTTTGTGTTCACAAATATTCTATAATCTTGGAGAATTGGCGTTAGTTTCGCCATACATAAATAACACGGTAAGCTAGACACGCCCACAAATATAAACTTATTCAAAACAAACGTTGACATTAAAATAAATACATAACAAATTCGTTATACACAACACATATCTGATACTACAAGTCACGCATATTTCTAAATACAAATTCAATCCAAACAACGTTCATATTAAAAATAAATACATAATAATAAATTTGTTTCAATGTTTAGTCTTACCATAACTCTCAGGAGTTTTCTGGTATCTGGTCAATCAATGAGTCTTCTCTCCATATTACCATTCTTGAGCCTTTGGTGGTTAGTTGAGCTTTGTTCCACTTCCTTCCTCTCCTACAAGGGTGGGGGTGGTTAGGATATATTCTGACATCTCCACAGTAGTCATTTATATCACAGAGCCAGGGAGTACCAATTCTAGGTCTCTGTGCTTTCAGATCCTGGATATCTTTTCTGGGCCCATAGTCACTACATTGTGGACTTAGCTTGCCTTATTTTGTGCCTTCCTAAATCTGATGGGGGATCATTTGTCTCCTTCCAACAAAGTTTTCTTCATAGAGTGGTCCTTCGATCCACAGGTCTTTGAGTGGGTGTTTTCTCAGCTGGAGACACCTTATATATGCCTTTACCACTCACTGGAATGCCAACCTTCCTTCCCTTTGGTCTCCTGTTCTTCACCCACTAACTTTGGGGATTTTCGCATTGTCAAAATTGGAGGTGTCTTCACATTTGTGCTTACCCTCCTCTTCAACTCATCTCTAGAGTTTTATCCTTATTCCAAACCATTCCGGGTCTCGTCCTATTAGTGGCTCATCTTTGTCTGGCACAACCTTAGTTCCCACTGCTTTGACCCTTCCTTGTACAACCTTCCCTACCCTTACCTCTGTCTGTTCCTATTCTGTAACCTTAGTCAGACATTGTTCATCTAGGTGTCTTCACATTCTTTCTTCATGCATGGCTTTTATCGGGTCCATTGTCTCAGACCAGAGACTGACTCCACTTATTGAATCTTTCCTTTCCTGATCCATTAGACAGTTTTCCTTGTTCATTTACCACAGGCAATGGTATACCTTCTGCCTCTGGTCTCTATCCTTCCCTATTTAGATGAACCCTGGAGAAAAGGAAGGTGTTCAACAAGGCCACACAGTAGAAATGGACAAGCCTTTGTCAAACAACCAGGTGAAGATTTTATTTTTCCCTGTCATTTCCATCCCTTTGCTGCTTGTTTTGAGTCATGCATCCTCCACATTCTTTGATTTGCCTAATTGGGATCACATTGTGGTCCCTTATGCCTTTCCTGTCCTTCTTTTGAACCTTTGTCTTAATGTTGCTTATACCATCTCTTCCTCAAGACCTGTTTCCTTCTCTTCCTTTCTTGCAGGTGTTGTTGATCAGACATATATGCCTTTAATTCTCTCAACATGGGCTTGGTCAATTTGACCAACAAATGTGACCTCTCTGTACTCGTGCAAAGTCTTTACAGATTTCATACTACTAACTTTTAATATAGTGTGTATATCTTTATGAAATTTTGCAGTTTTCAGTATACATTATAAGTCTTTTACGTACAAAAATCATATTTTTTTAGTGAAGTATCTTTAATAAACTAAAAATAGATTTGTCCTTGAATATATCGAGTATTTGTTTTGAATTGTCTGTGTGGAAAGTGATTTTCATGTTAAGATTAAAAATACTTTTCTTCATCTCAAAAATATAAAATTTCATTTGTGTAATCTCTAAAACCTCTTAAATACATTTCGAATGTTTGTTTTCAGTAAAACTATATTTTATCTGTAATTTTCTCTACCCTAACTTTATACAAGGTTGGTCAGTTTTTACTGACCTCATAACCATAAAAAAAATCGAAATAAATCAAAATTACCCTTTTATTCTTTATAGAATGACTTCAAGTGTAGCGTGAAACTACATTTGTTTGTCCTAAGTGGCTTTAAACTTGTATCAGTATACATCTGTTCATATTTAAATTTTTGCTCTGTGGACCGTGTCTAACTACTACTTACGCCATTATATGTTGTAAATCAGTTGGGAAATGTGCAATTCACATTATGCTTTCGAATTACATTATCAACAAGCTACTCCAAGCTACTTGCATGCATGCTTCATGAAATATTTTTATTGTATTATTATTTATTTTACATAATCTAACTTTAACTATTTTTTAATTTTAGTTACTTCTATAATAATAAATAAAGAATAAACATGAAAAGCAAGAAATAAAGAACTTACCCAGTCTTTTTTTTCTTGCTGTGGATTGTCAATGACATTTAAGCCTTCTGTTTTTATACTAATGGTAGTAATGCACTAAATAATTTTTATTTAATTAAATAA